TGTTGCTTCTCTCACCCCAACCGGTCGCAGCAGATGGCCCCGCCCCTCCCTGAGCCTGGTTCTGCCGGAGGTTTCTTCCTGTTAAAAGAGAGTTTTTCCTTCCCACTGTCGCCAAAGTGCTTGCTTATAGGGGGTCATATGATTTTTGGGTTTTTCTCTGTATGTATTATTCTAAGGTCTACCTTACAGTATAAAACACCTTGAGGCGACTGTTGTTGTGATTTGATGCTATATAAATAAAATGGAATTGAATGTGTGGAGAACACAAGAAAGAATGTTCAATACCAAAGTATTACAGAGGGAAGTCTCACTTCTTTAAATAACAAGCTAACGGAAATCTTAAACTAAAACTCGCCAATCCAGAGTAAAAATTTGTTTTAGTGTCGACTCTTTCAGGATCCAAGAAACAAGTTCAGATTGTCCCACTCTCGAAGTCCATTTACGAAACCTGCACCCACAATTGCTCATGGATACGAAACACCTGATTGGGAAATTAAGCAAGTTAAGGTGGCACAGGGCAAATACTTTACATTCTCAACAGAATCTGTGCAAACATATCTGCAAAAGTGAAATTACAAGAAATTAGTCACAAAGCAAATTCTCAAGTGCTTCGAAGGAGCACAAAATACTGTCAAGGTATCTGAAACGAAACCACATCTGTTACAGTTCATCGTTCTCCTTCCGTCAGATTGTTATAAATACAACAGAAGTTGCCAATCATTCGAAGGTATTGCAGCCGGGTTACAGAGGCTTCTGTTGCCTCCGCCTGTCTACAAAGCAGAGACCAAAGGATATTAACCATTGAAGATAAGAGGAGATTTGGTGAGAGATCTGCTATTGAGCTGCTTTGATTCAAACACAACGGGCTCAGCTGACCCTTCACTTTCCATCCAGTCATTATATATATTATATGAGATTACTCACTGGATTGTCTCCAGATAAGAGGCGTCAGTGTGATAGTGAAATAAAGAAAAGAGAGAAAAAAGCCAGCTATCAGCTCATGTGATCTCCTCCTGCAAAGACTCTTCTTTTTGTTTTCCCTCCGTCTTTTGATCCCTGGTTCCAACGAGCAAATGGAGATCAGGACCCTTGAAATCCCAAAGTAACTGAGGATGGTTTGCAAGCCTCCTCCATGTAATCCGTCCCCCCGCTGTGCAAAACGTATTAAAATTCTGGCACCGCTGCAGAAACGAAGAGGTGAGTCCTGGACGTGTCACGACTGCGAATTATCCCCTGGTGGAAATCAGCGGGGCCGTTAGCGAAGGCCCACAGATGTCATTTAAACTCAATTTCTGAAACTTTGATGACGAAAGCCAACGGTAAGAAATAAGATGTGTTTATTTTCCGTCTTCTACATTTTTCAGGAGCACAGGTACTCTAAGAAAGAGGTAACCAGAGATTCATGCGATGCTTGTTTACTGAAATGTCCAGCAGGGGTTCGGCCCAGCGGAAGGTTTAAAATCCCTGAAGATGCATAAAGCTTAAAAATGTTGTGCTTCAGACAGTTCAGAATCTCTGTTTCTACATTTCATACATTTTCTGCTCTGCTGAGATATCAGAATACGCTCTTTCTCAGTAGGCCGACATTTAGATAAACAACTTACATGGATTTGCTTCTTTCAAACACAATGGTTGAATGTTGAGGTTCAGAAAAATCCAAACTTAATTATGGGATAAAATAATCAAATAAACTGACTCTGATGGACTTTTCAGCTTCATCAGAAATGAATGTAAAGTCCATTCAAGAGCCAGTAATCATACTGATGGCAGTGTTACTCACCACCAGGGGTGTAATGAGTAAGGTTATACCTGAGTTTTGTGCATTTCTCTAACTTTGGTTTTTGGTTATGATCCAGTCTCATTCAAGTGGTTGAGCCTGAGGAAAAATAATTTTATGAACTCTATTATTCTGATATATTTCCGGTTTACCATCAAAGCCCCCCACGCCTAACTATTAATTAAAAAGCATGCGGTCATAGTTTATTAGACTATAACTGCAATCAGACTTTATGGAATTTTGCCTGTAACCTGTATTTACACAGATACTCTTTACTGCTGGCTCTTGGACTGTAAGAACAACCTGCTTGGTTATACTGTGCATACTATATATATTGTACATGCATCTATGGCAGGACCATACATCAAACATGGATCTGTAGCTTCAGGGTCTGATAAGTGCGGAGCCCCTCTGATGACATGGTCCAAAAAATAAATAAATTGTGGCCACAAAATACTACTTCGTGCCCACAAAATACTTATTTGTGGCCACGCAATACTATTTCAAGGGCACGAAATAGGTATAACGTGCGCACGAAATGCTAATTTGTGGGCACGAATTGG